GTGTAATTAGGAAACAATTTCAATTTCAAAATGTGAACATCACATTTCTGGTTTCTAATCTAGTGTGCAAAAAGCTGCAATATGCCTCATCATACAATAAGTAAGAAGTTGAACATACTGAAACTGATCAGTGATACTACTTAGGTCTATCAGAAAAGTCAGGTCACGAGGTAAACTGCTGCCCCCCAGACCGGAGGGATAGACAAGCGGATGAAGAGATTCATAACTTAGTGGAACAGAGCCTCCTCCTAAGTAGAGTGGGTTAGGGAACTTTAAACTGATGAATTGTTGAGAGTTTTGATGTGGACAAGTCTATGAGTTTCAAACTCGCAGGGTGCATAGCCAGAGTCCTTAGACTTACGTGCATTTATCTCCAGCAATTCTGCCAGCCCCTCAGGGAATATCATAGAAAAATCCCCAGTGTGTTTAGCAGGGGGAGTGGAAAAGAAGCCTTTCTGAAATCTGCAGGAGCACTCAGTTCTTAAAAACGCCTGCTCTGTAGAAATTTTTTTTTTATCAGAGACTAGCCTGCGGATTCACTGGAACCACACCTACTGGTTCAGCACCCTCCACTCATGTCACAGAAGTGGGGGAGAAATGATACTGGCCAATGAAGTTCACGGTCCAGAGCATGGTCTCAACAAAAACTAAGCATAACCATATAGTACTAACCGTATAAGGCTTTCTCTCCTTCAACACCTTACTACCACCTAACTAAAGGTCTATTCAGTTCTTTATGTCTGCCTATCAACAAAAAATTACAAGGCACACTAAAAGGCAAAGAACACAGTTAGAAGAGACAGAAAAAGCATCAGAACCACAGATTGGAATGAATGTTGGAATTATCAAACCAGGAATTTGTTTAAAACAATTACCAGTATCCCATCACAAATGGAACAATCCATCTGGCATAAATTGATGAAGACATAGTGAACTCAATGGTACCATCAATCAATTGGATATAATTAACATCACTGGACCAAGCCATTCAACAACAGCAAAAAATATTCATTTTGTCAAGCTTACATGGAACACTCACTTAGACCACATTATGGACCATATAAGCATATTTAACAAATGCAGAAGAATGGAAATCATGCTATGTCATTCAGCCTTAATGGAATTAAACTGGCAAAACAATAAAAATGGAAGCGCAAAATCCCAAAATATTTGTAGATTAAATATCTAAATAACATGCAGGATAAAAAATAAATCTTGAAAAATTTTAAAACATTTAGAACTAAGCCAAAATGAAAAATATAAACTGCCAAAATTGTGCAATATATTGAAAATAGTTTTTAGAATTAAATCGGTAGCACTTAATGCTTATATTACAAAAAAAGAGAAAGATCTAAAATAAAGAACCTAAGGTTTCACTTAGCAAACTAGAAAAGGAAGAACAAATTAGATTCAAGGAAAGCAGAAAAAGAAAAAGAATGAAAAATAGAACAGAGGTCAATAAAATTGGAAACAGGAAATCAATAGAAATGTCAAAATCAGATTCCTTGAAAAGTTCATAAAGTCTTCCTCTACTCGGGTAATAAAGATTAGAGGAAAAAAGACAGATTACTGATATCAGAAATGAAAGCAAGAACATCAGTATGGATCCCTTGGACATTAAAAAGATAATAAAGTAATATTATAAATAATTTCATGCCCTCAAATTTGACAACCTAGATGAAACGAACTAATTCCTTGAAAGACAAGCCGCTGAAAGTCATGCAAGAAGAAAAGACATCTGATTAGGCCTATAGCTATTTTTAAAACTGAATCAATAATTAATAACCTTCTAAAATGGAAAGTGCAAAGGCTTACATGGATTCACTGGTGGATTCTACTGAACAGTTCAAGAAGAAGCTATACCAATTCTATATAACCTGTTCCTGAAAACAGAAGCATAGGGAATAATTCTTCATTCACTCTGGGAGGTCAGTATTATTCTTAAACCAAGATTAGACTGAAATTATAAAGGAAAAAAACTATAGCTCAGTAACTATTTTGAACATAGGTGAAAATCCTCAACAGAATATTAGCAAATGGAATTTAATGATATATAAAAACAATTATGCATCATGGCTAAGTAGGATTTGTCACCAGTACGCAGTATTTCACAGAATACAATACTCATCTTAAAACAAATCTCAGCAAACTAGGAATAGATGGGAGCTTCCTTAACTTGACAAATTCTACAAAAACCTACATTTCAGCCAACATTGTACTATAGTAGATAAAGCTGTGTGTTCAATGCCAGCATCCCATAGGGACACCAGTTTGAGACCTGCTGCTCCTCTTCCAATATAGCTCCCTGTTAATGTGCCTAGGGAAGCAGTGGAGGATGACGCAAATGCTTGGGGTCCCTGTACCCACATGGGAGACCCAGAAGAATTCCAGACCCTTGGCTTCGATTTGGCCCAGACCTGCCTGTTGTGGCCATTGGGGAACAAATCAGAGTATGGAAGATCGCTTGTGTTCCTGTTAACTGTGACTGACTGGTAAATACCTCCAAATCCAGGTCAGCCCATGTCCAAAGGCCAAACACTGCAAAGTTCTCCCCCAGCCTTCAATAGCCTAGGACCAGATTCTGATGCTATTGCTCACTCTTTCATATTCATATTCTTTCCCACTGCTTCTCTCTCTGTGTCTATCTCACTCTTTCCCATCTTGCTCACCCCTTTGCTGCCTTTCAGTAAAATGAAAATAAAAATGTTAAAGGGGGCATGTTTGGCACAGTGATTAACCCACTGTTTGCAATGCCCACCTCCTGGATTAAGAGCACCTGCTCTGGCTCCTGGCTCCTGCACACGTGATCTGGCTTCCTACCAATGCACACCCCAGGAAACAGCAGATAATGGGTCTAGTTCTTGGCACTCCATGACCACAGATTCAGGCTCATGGCTCTGACTTTACCCAGCTTAGGCTGTTGCAGGCATTTGGGAGTGAATCTCTCTCCCTTTCTCCCCCTCACATCTTTCAAATAAATGGAAATAAAGGGGAAATAAGTTCAAAAATAAAATGTGTTCCCCTCAGGATAATGTAAAGTAAGTAAACATTAGATTTCCTGTCTGTTCAGGGTTCCATCAGTATGACTCGTGCAAGAACCATCGCCTTTCAGCAGCTCTTCTTTCCGGAAAGAATTCGAATCAATAGCCATGTGATCACCACTCTCAGCAAACTTCTAGAAAAGTTCCTCTTAAAAGTACACAATGTAGTTTTAACCTGGCAGAAAATAACCAAATACTTTAAACAGCAGGTTATATTCTTTGGGCAGCACCTCTTTTCTCACAGCAGAGATGTGAGGGTTGATACTGCCCTCATGCACGTAGTACTACAGAATCTAATTGCAGTGAATGGATATGCTCTTGCAAATGGCATCTCCTTAGTCTTTTACCCAAGTAAAAGTAGGTAGGCCTTCGGCAAGAGAAGTCTTTGAGCGGACTTATAACCACCCCCTCTCTTTCCATAAGCTTAGGAAAGAAGTCAGCCCCTTCACTGTGACCCATGAGTGAGAATGTAAATCTTCATCCTTTTACAACGCTGCACAGAAATTGAACTAGTTAGAATTGAACTGTATTCCGTCGGTACTGTTAGCACGGCATCATTCCAAATGCTGCGGCTCCCACAAAGGGTCACACAATGACTTTGCTTGTCCTTAATGATTCTGAACTCTCAGTTCTCCAAGATTTGGAATCAGTACAATGGTGTTTCCCCCCACCCCAACCTGCTAGAAAATTTTATAAACTTGCCTCAAACACCAGGATAAAGACATCACTGGAAAATGTGAAGCAGTTTCCTTGATAGTGGTAACTGGTCTGTCTCTCCGAAGATGAATGATGCAGAGCCCTATGATGTAATTTCCTCTAGTTTTTAAAGACTTACTTGCAGAGTTACAGAGATGGAAGGAAAGACAGACAGAGAGAGCACTTCCAGCTACTGGTTCACTCCCCAAATGGCTGCAACAGATGGGGGTGAGGTCAGGAGCTAGGATCTTGGTCTGGTGCTCTGACATGGTTGGCAGGGGCCCAAAACCTCATGCCATCTTCTGCCGCCTTTCACAGGTTATTAGGAAGCAGAACTGGAAGCAAAGCAGTTGGGACTTTGAGTGAGAGAGTGAGTGTGTGTGTGTATCTGTTAGCTAACTTTTAAGATTTTTTAAATTTTTATTTGAAAGATTTTGCAGAGAGAGGCAAGAGAGAAAGAGAGAGAGAGAGAGAGAGAGAGAGAGAGAGAGAGAGAGAGAGAGAGAGAGCTCCCCAAATGGCCACAACAGTTGTAGCTGAGCTGATCTGAACCCAGGAACCAGGAGCTTCTGTGTCTTCCATGTGGGTACAGGGTCCCAAGAAATTGAGCCATCCTTTGCTGCTTTTACAGGCCATAAACAGGGAGCTAGGTTGGAAGTGGAAGATGGATTGGAAGTGGCACTTATATGGAATGCTGCCACTGTAGGGGGAGAATTAGTTCCCTATGCCACCATACTGGCGTGAGCAGTTGGGACTTGAACCAGGGCTTGTAAGTGTTGCCTGCGCTGCAGGTGGTAGCTTAACCAGATAAACCACAGTGCCGGTGACTCCCTTATACTTTTTCTTTCTTTACAAAAAAATTTGAGAGAGGAAGAGAGACTGAAACAGAGTCCCCACCACTGCTGGTTCACTCTCTAAATGCTCAGGATAACCAGGGCAAGCCACACTGGAACCAGAAATGGGGACTGAATGCAACAATCACGCAGGCATGGCAGGAGCCCAATTACCTGGGCTATGGCTGTTGCTCCCCAGAGTCGGCACTGGGACAGAACTAGAATCAGGACCCAGGGCTGAGAAGAGAACCCAGGGACTGTGCTGGAGATGTGCCAGAGTCTCAACCCCTGGGCTACAGTGAACAAACAAGCCATATGAGCTGAACTGGAAGCATGAACTGTCAGATTCTACTGATGCAATTCTGAAAGAGACCCTTTTCAGCACTTATAGCAAAAAGGAGTTTTCTGACCAAAGACAAATTGTGCTTACCTCCTACCAACAAGTAGCTGTTGGGAAACAGTGTTTTTGCTTGCATAAGTGCCCTTGCGTGACCTGAGTGGAAGAGGTCAAATATTCCATCTGCATAGACTCTGACAGGCCTGTCAACTGTGGAGAAAAGAAAGCATTGTTAACACCACTGTTGAATAACAAATCCAAGTCACGCTCCATCAGCATCGCTCCGCAAGAAAGTTTACCTGCAGAAGATGGAATGTTTTTTTTTTAAAGATTTATCTATTTTTTATTGCAAAATCAGATATACAGAGAGGAGGAGAGACAGAGAGGAAGATCTTCCATCCAATGATTCACACCCCATGTGACCGCAATGGCCAGTGTTGTGCCGATCCGAAGCCAGGATCCAGGAACCTCCTCCAGGTCTCCCATGTGGGTGCAGGGTCCCAAAGCTTTGGGCCATCCTCGACTGCTTTCCCGGGCCACAAGCAGGGAGCTGGATGGGAAGCGGGGCTGCCGGGATTAGAACTGGAGTCCATATGGAATCCTGACGTGTGCAAAGCGAGGACTTTAGCCACTAGGTCACCGCGCCAGGCCCAGAAGATGGAATCTTTATGTCCCTTAACTTCTTATTATTACATGAAATTGATTTAAAATCAGGTTCTTTTTTTAAAGGTTTATTTATTTTTATCGGAAAAGCTGATATATATAGAGGAGGAGAAACAGAGGGGAAGATCTTTCCTCCGATGGTTCACTCCCCAGCGGCCACAACGGCTGGAGCTGAGCCAATCCAAAGCCAGGAGCCAGGAGCTCTTCCAGGTCTCCCACACGGGTGCAGGGTCCCAAAGATTTGGGCCATCCTCACCTGTTGTCCCAGGCCACAGGCAGGGAGCTGGATAGGAAGTGGGGCCACTGGGATTAGAACCGGCGCCCATATGGGATCCTGGCATGTGCAAGGCGAGGACCTCAACCACTGTGCTACCGTGCTGGGCCCTAAATCAGGTTCTTCTTAAGATATCAAAGCAGACTAAAAAACAGAAAAATTAAGCTCAAACCAGAAGACATATTGCCAGCCCACAGGAAAGAGCAATAAAGCACTGGGGACTTCTCTGGACCAAATGTGGAACCTGGCAGGAGCTTCAAGACAGCGGGAGCCAAGGGGCTCGGTGGAAGGACATGTGATTTTGTCCTTGAGTCTGACAATCCTGAATGAAGACTCTAAGTCCTGTGCCCAAAGGTGGTGATCTGCTGGAGTCTGCTCATATCTGTCACATGGAACTTTGGGTCTTTCTTCCCAACCCCGAGTCACAATGGAAACCTGAAACCACCTGCGATTTACACACAGGAGTTGGTGATCGCTACAGATTATTGTTGACTTCCTCAGAAGGACCACCGCTCACACGTGTACCAGCATGGTACTGTGCATCAGCTCTGGCACCATGAAAGATGGGCTCCACATGTCTCGAGAGTGAAGTTGAGGTATAACGGGTGCATGTAGAGGTTGTACTTAGCATTGGAAGTGAGTCATCAACAACTAAAATCCTTTTTTAAAAAAAAGATTTTTATTGAAAACGCAGATATACAGAGAGGAGGAGAGACAGAGAGGAAGATCTTCCATCCGATGATTCACTCCCCAAGTGACTGCAATGGCCGGTGCTGCGCCAATCTGAAGCCAGGAACCAGGAACCTCTTCCAGATCTCCCACACGGGTGCAGGGTCCCAAGGCTTTGGGCTGTCCTCGACTGCTTTCCCGGGCCACAGGCAGGGAGCTGGATGGGAAGTGGAGCTGCCGGGATAAGAACTAGCGACCATATGGGATCCTGGCACGTGCAAGGTGAGGAGTTTAACCACCATGCTATCTTGCTGGGCCCTTAAATCCTTTCAAGATAAAGTCAGAAGTGAAGAGGTCACAACAGAGAATCCAGCTGTGGCATATGGCACTCTGGGAGGTGTCATTCCATGATGAAGAGGGACACGCTTCACCATAGTATCTAAGGAGGCAAGTGACTACGTTCTAAACTGAAAGATGACGCAATTAATAACCCAGTGAAGGGGACAGCTTTCAAGTGAGAGGTAGACTCTGGGGTGTCAATTTCCAACTGTTTAGTGAATGAAGCAGTTCATAGAAGTATTCATTCTTGGGCCTGATGAGATAGCCTAGCAGCTAAAGTCCTGGCCTTGAATGTGCCAGGATCCCATATGGGCACAGGTTCTCATCCTAGTGGCCCTGCTTCCCATCTAGCTCCCTGCTTGTGGCCTGGGAAAGCAAGTGAGGACTGCCCAAAGCCTTGGGTGCGGGAGACCCAGAAGAGACCCAGGCTCTTGGCTTCTGATTGGTGCAGCTCTGGCCATTGCGGCCTCTTGGGGAGTGAATCAACAGATGGAAGATCTTCCTCTCTGTCTCTCCTCTTCTCTGTGTATCTGACTTTGCAATAAAAATAAATACATCTTTAAAAATAAAACATCCATTCTTTCTGGTTAGAGGAAGGGGTTTGCAGTTGGACAATCCCCATTACATTTGTTGAAAATTCTGTTTCACCAAATTCTGTACCTTTCTGAGTTCTCAAATAAGGGAACTGGAGAATGAAATCCAAGAAGAAGATCCAGAAGTGGCTGACAAACGAAGTACTTTCTAATGCCACCATAAACATCTCAGTGCTCTTTCCTGTGGCTACAAACAACATAGGGATTTTACCCTTCCCTGGAGAAAAAGAAAGGAGTCCCGGGTGCTCGCACAGGTGTTCTTCAAATAGGGATGAAGTCCATGAGTTAAACACGGTGAGCTGGACACATTTATCGCTCATTCCTTCCTACGCACCACGGACAGGACCAAAAAGAAAGTGGTTAGAAAAGAAGTAATGACAATGAATGGATCAGAAATGTAGACAAAAGCTTGGAAAATTCTCAAGTGTCGAATGCTTGCAGGGAGTGAAAATCAGAAGTGGGGCAGGTAGGAAAAGGCATGATTAGATTTCTGTGTAAGCCCAAGGGTCCTACTGATTTCTTAAAATGTGTACATTACATTGGTTTTTAAAAAAATACATTTCTAAGCATTTATTTATTTGAGGCACCTGGCTCCGGCTCTCACATCCATTGCAGGACACTGAGCTCCATAGAAACAGCGCTGGGGCAAGTGAGAGCCGGATGGGCAATGGGCGACTCTGTGCCTCGTGGAGGAAAAATAACTAACCATGGGAAAAGGAGATCCTAAGAAGCCGAGAGGCAAAATGTCATCTTATGCATTCTTTGTGCAAACTTGCTGGGAGGAGCACAATAAGAAGCACCCGGATGCTTCCGTCAACTTCTCAGAGTTTTCGAAGAAATGCTCAGAGAGGTGGAAGACCATGTCTGCTAAGGAGAAGGGAAAATTTGAAGATATGGTAAAGGCAGACATGGCTCATTATGAGAGAGAAATGAAAACCTATATCCCTCCTAAAGGGGAGACATAAAGGAAGTTCAAGGATCCCAAGGCACCCAAGAGGCCTCCCTCGGCCTTTTTCTTGTTCTGTTCTGAGTAACGTCCAAAAAGCAAACGGGTCAAACGGAAGCACCCTGGCCTCTCCATTGGTGATGCTGCAAAGAAGCTGGAGCGATGTGGAATGACACTGCCGCCGCTGACAAGCAGCCTTCCGAGAAGGCTGCCAAGCTGAAGAAGTACGAGAAGGATATTGCCGCATACCGAGCTAAAGGAAAACCTGATGCAGCCAAAAAGGGAGTTGTCAGGGCTGAAAAGAGCAAGAAAAAAAAGCAAGAGGAGGAAGATGAAGAGGATGGAGAAGATGAAGAAGAGGAGGAAGAGGATGAGGATGAAGAAGATGATGATGATGAATAAGTTGGTTTTAGCAGTTTTTTTTTCCTGTCTATAAAGCACTTAACCCCCCGTACACAACTCATTCCTTTTAAAGAAAAAAACTGAAATGTAAGGCCGTGTAAGATTTGTTTTTAAACTGTACAGTGTCTTTTCTGTATAGTTAACACACTACTGAATGTGTCTTTAGATAGCCCTGTCCTGGTGGTATTTTCAATAGCCACTAACCTTCCTGGTACAGGATAGGGGGGTGTAAATTGGCATGGAAATTTAAAGCAGGTTCTTCTTGGTGCACAGCACAAGTTAGTTCTATGTAGGGATGGTAGTTTTTCATCTTCAGTTGTCTCTGAGGCAGCTTATATGAAATAATTGTTGTTCTGTTACCTGAATACCACTCTGTAATAGCAAAAAAAAAAAAAAAAGCAGCTGTTTTCTTGACATTCTGAATGCTTCTAAGTAAATACAATTTTTGTTAGTGAAAAAAAGATTTATTTATTTGAAAGGCATATTTTACAGAAATAGAAGGAGGAACAGGGAGAAATCTTCCATGCATTGGTTCACACCCTAAACATCTATAATGGCCGGAGCTGAGCCATTCTGAAGCCAGGAGACAAAAGCTTCATCTAGATTTCCCGCACGGGTAAAGGAGCACAAGGATGTGAGCCATCCTCTGCTTCTTTTCCGGGTACATTAGCAGAGAGCTGGACTGGAAAGTGCAGCAGCTTATACTGGGAATAGTGCTCATACAGGATGCCAGCATTGCAAGAGCAGGTTTAACCTACTGTGCCATGGCACTGGCACAATGGCACTGAAAATACATTTTTAAAAGAGGGAAATGAATATAAGTTCCTACTGAGTGATTTTTAAGACTCACATTTTTAGGGCCTGGCGCAGTAGCCTTAGTGGCTAAAGTCCTCGCCTTGCATTGGATCCTATATGGGTGCTGGTTCATATCCCAGCTGCTCCACTTCCATTCCAGCTCCCTGCTTGTGGCCTGGAAAAGTAGTAGAGAATGGCCCAAAGCCTTGGGACCCTGCACCCATGTGGGAGATCCAGAAGAGCTCCTGGCTTCTAGTTTCGGATCAGCTCAGCTCTGGCCATTGCGGCCACTTGGGGAGAGAACCAGTGGATGGAAGATCTTCCTCTCTTTCTCTCCTTTTCTCTGTAAATCTGCCTTTCAAATAAAAAATAAATCTTAAAAAAGAAAGAAATCTGTTTAAGACTCACATTTTGAAAGGGGGAGGGTATAGGCAGTATATTTCAGCAGGTTAAGTCACAGCCTGGGATGCCACATCCCACATCAGAGTACCTGGGATAAAATTCCACTTGTTTTCAATGCAGTTTCCCG